TCTCTCGTTTTGTGCAAATGCAATTGGGTTAATAATCAGGACTACCTTTACCTATAAAGCTACAGTCTTTTGGTTGTACAGCAAGAAGGCATGCAGAATAAGAACCTCCTCGACTATTCCATATGGTCTCTAAGAAGTATATGCAGTTGACCCTTGAACAACCTGGATTTGAACTGTGCAGGTCTGTTTATACATGGATCCAAAGTGCTGGGATTACAGGCTTGAGCCACCGTGCCCGGCCTGTAACTGGAATTTTTAATGGAAACTTTATGGGCCTTTCAGTTACCAGTTTGCAGTGGAGCATTTGTCTTTGTCTTTTTAAAGTTATACTATAAGAGTAGGTAGAGAGACTCAAATCTGCAGTTCTCTTGACTGATTAGTATCCCTTTTTTGTGTTTTGTTTTGTTTTGTTTTTGTTTTGTTTTTTAAAGAGAGGGTCTGGCTCTGTGCCCAGGCTGGAGTGCAGTGCCACGATCTCGGCTCACTGCAATCTCCACCTCCTGAGTTCAAGCGATTCTCCTGCCTCAGTCTCCTGAGTAGTTGGGATTACAGATGGGTGCCACCATGCCCAACTATTTTTTTTTTTTCTTTTTTTTGAGGCAGTCTCGCTCTCTTGCCCAGGGGAGTACAGTGGCACAATCTCGGCTCACTGCAACCTCTGCGTCCTGGGTTCAGGCGATTCTCCTGCCTCCGCCTCCTGAGTAGCTCCTGGGCGCATGCCACCACGCCTGGCTAATTTTTGTATTTTTAGTAGAGACGGAGTTTCACCATGTTGGTCAGGTTGGCCTCGAACTCCTGACCTCAGGTGATCTGCCCACCTCAGCCTCCCAAAGTGTTGGGATTACTGGCGTGAGCCACCGTGCCTGGCCAGGACAGGGATTTTTCTGTCGTCCAGGTTGGTCTTGAACTCCTGCGCTCAAGCTATCTGCCCATCTCTGCTTCCCAAAGTGCTGAGATTACAGGTATAAGCCACTGCGCCTGGCCCTTTCTTTTTTTTTTTTTTTTTTTTGGTGGGTGATTCCTTTGGAATCTGGTGCTTCATTTTTTTTTGAGTTTTTTGTTGTTTTATTTTTTTAAGTCATAGGAGTTCAGATTCGCTTTTCCATTTGGGATTTTAAAGTTTGAGGTGGGATCTTTGTAATATGTTGGCATGGGGTTTTACAGTTAAAGAAGGAAAGACTTAGATTTTTATTTTTTGCACTCAACACACACATGAATGAATGAGACCCACAAAACTGCTGTTCCTGTCTTTCCTCGACTATTCCATATGGTCTCTAAGAAGTATATGCAGTTGACCCTTGAACAACCTGGGTTTGAACTGTGCAGGTCTGTTTATACATGGATTTAAAAAAATAAATACATTGGAAAATATTTAGGAGATTTGTGACAGTTTGTAAAATCTTACAGATAAACTAGCCTAGAAATATCAAAAAAGTTAAAAAGGTATGTTATGAATGAATAAAATATATGTGGATACTAGTCTATTTTAACATTTGCTACCATGAAATAAATACAAATCTATTATAAAAAGTTAAAACTTTATCAAAACTTATGCACACAAACCGTACATGGCACCATTCACTGTTGAGAGAAAATGTAA